GTCCTGCTGGTTATATTGCTTGTACAATGCAAGATTGGGTTAAATTTTTACGTGCACATATAATAGGTGTTAGTACTGGATATTTGACTGCTATAACAGCAGACAAGCTTAAACGTCCATTTATAGGTGTAGAAGGTTATGGTTTAGGAGTTCAAGCTTACAATCGCACATGGGCAACACCTGGTCTAGCTCTAGCACATGGCGGAGATATTTTCGGACATGAAACTGTCTTCTGGATGACTCCCGGTCGTGATTTAATTGTGGCTATTTTTGCAAATTGTTTATCAGTTAATAAAACTGGATTAGCTTTAGACAATGCTGCCAATCTGCTTCTTGCAAGATATGTCTAAAAGACAACAACACAAAATAAAGAATTTATTTGTGCTCCAGTTATACTTAATCACTTATCCGTTTATCCTCGTGGTGCATTGACACTTATCATTTTTCTCAATATTTGCAAGTTTTTATTTGCTATCTTATGATTATCTTAAAATATTGATAAAAAACCCTTCATTCTTTATTAAAATAAAAAATTTCATAATTAAATATTTATTAGCATACATATAAGACCTAACTCCATAAGAATAAACTTAAACGTAATACTGTATGATATTGAAGGTATTAAGAACATATTTTTTCTCTGGTTTAATAAACATTTTATACTGTTTTTCTTATCATTATCATATAGTATGAAGTAAAATTGATTAAAAAATTTCAAAGCTACTTATCTCTTGTTTTAATAAAGATAAACAAAAAAAGAAATACATGAAATATTTTGAACATTTTTCAAAACAATTTTTTCTTTTCTTTCATTTATATTTACTTTCGTACAAAGATTAGCTATTGCTTATATTAATATTAATCATTCATCTACTATTTACTCTTTAAGTCAATATTTCATGGAATTTGATCATATAGAACATTTTCTTGCTTCTTTCTTTATCATTATAATATGCCTTCTTCATTCATTTTCTATTGATTATTTATTTCTCTTATTTCAAAAAGTACTGTTCATATAATGCAGCTCATGTTAATTCCCATAGCCAATTACAAAAGATCAATAGAATCTTTTTTGTTTTATTCTTCAACAATGATTGATTGTTCAATTATTAATTTCCACCTGTGTTTAGAAAAATAACGTAATTTATATTTTCTTTCTTGTTCATGTTCAACACTATTGAGTCATATCATGTGTATGATACTATTACATATATATTTAATTATCAATAATGCTTTTTTTTTGTCGGAAGTTTAAGTCAGAATCGAAGTTATCGAATTACTTACGATAGAGATCATATAAAGCAAATGTTTGATTCTTCTATAAAATTGAATAGCGATGCAGTTACAGATGTGTATGTGATAGGGTAGTCAGTTGCTATCACTACTATCAATAAAGTGACTGAAGAAAAAAGAAATAAATGAGAGAAAAGGAAAAAAAGAAGGTTATTTGGCAAGAGTTCTTATCGATGATGTGTATTTAGTATTTCAGTTGTCAAGTTTGCTTTCTAATGTCTCTATTTTTTATCCTATCATTACATTTCTTTTTTATTTCTTGAAGATTGAACTTTTCTCTCGTTTTCTTTATATTAATTCATAGCAAGACAAAGAATTTTCCATTGTGAAATGGATGTCGCAGCTAATACCCGCACCATATGGATTGTATTTGGAAGTTTATCAGGTGTCGGTCTTATTCTTGCTTTTATACGAACATGGGCATGGTACTCAAAATCTGGTAGAACTATAATTGATTTACCAGTAAGAAATATTTTATTCTATTTATAAATAAATTATTTCTTTTGTTTTGTTTATAAATAGACACTTGCGAAATTTTTTCTTTATATTATGGGTATTGTTGGTACTGTTATGTTTCTTGTAGCAAGTTGTGCTGCCGTTTGGTGGTTAGCTTTTTACAAAGTAATATTATATTAATAATCTGTATAGTTTTATGTTTTTTTGTTTGTAGAAAGAATATAATAATACCTTTGAATCTGATACGAATTCAATACAAAAAGTCTTTCGAATTCTATTGATTGTTTCATTTGCACTTAAAACAATTGATATTATTCATCTGATTATACGACAAGCAACAATAGATATTTTTTTTATCGATTGGGAAAGACCAAAAGCAGGTTAGTGAATATATATATGTATTTGAGTGATTATATTATAGTAAAAAATTTCGTTTCAGGTGATATAAATCATGTTTCCGCTTGGCGAACATATTTTGTAGCTAATGAATTTAATGAAATTCAAACATTTCGTCGTATTCATGTATCATTTCATCTTCTATTTGTTCTATTCTTACTTAAAGTAGATTACTTTTTTCCCCAAAAGCTTTCTTTCTATATTTATTCTATTGTAGGTAATCAATCTCGAAAATCTAGCTTTAGCTGGTCCAGATATTACTCTCTCTGCACCTACATTTCAAGGTAATTATACAACAGAATATAATCGTATTTTTCGTATTGGTATTGCTTTTCCTGTTCTACTTGGCACTGGTAAGATTATTTGAATATAAAAAATTCCTTTTTATTGATTGCATTTCTTAGGTTTTATTCAATATTTTTTCTATATAATATTTTATCAACGTTTCATAGAAAATAAAATAATGAATTTTATTGATTTATGTTCCGTGTCAAATATCAGTGTTTTTATTCTTGATCAAAATCGTCATGGATATTATATTCATGGTCGATCACCACATGGTACAACTGATGTTAATATGAAAGATATGTTAATGAATTTAGAACGTGAATCAAGAATGTTAAGTGGTACACGTGGTTTACAAGCAAATTCAACTGAACAAATATTTATTATGAAAATTAATCGAACATTTCGTACGCAATATGATTTATTATTTCGAAAATATTCTGTAAGAAAAAAATAAGATGCATAGAAATTTTTTATTTCTTCTTCTTATTTAGGATTTTGTGGGACCACGACGGTCAAAAAAAGATAAAGAACATTATACAGATGTTTTACTTGAATCTTATCGAAATTTAAATAGTTTTTTATGTTCATATATTGATCATTCATTACCAGCACATGAATATTATGTTCGAAATCGATATTTAGTAGAAAAATTATTTAATTATGAATTTCAAATTGGTATGACAGGTTATAATGATAGTTTATTTTTTGTTGGTAAGTTATTTTAAGAAATAATAAATTATTTATTTATTTATTTGTTAAATAGATAATGAGAAAACTTTTACAGAAATTTTATTTTATGGTGAAGAAAATTCATTATTTATTTGGAATATAATTACTTTTCTTTTTATTGATTTTCTTTCTTCAAATTATGTGTTAGCAGCTATCATTACTTATTTACTTAATTTAGTAAGTATGATATATATAGATATAATAGAAAAATCTAATTTTTTTCTATTCTATAGATAGCCGTTGCTTTACGTAATTCATTTGGTCGTAAAAATTTATCAAAGAAAACTTTAGTTCCAAGAGAACTTTTAATTTAATTAGATTGTATGTTATATATATTTATTTGTTTGTGACTTAAACTTCTTTAGTTGTTATCTCATTATATTCTGTTAGTCTAACTAGACAATGTCACATCGTTTATAATATTATTATTAAAATCCAGACTGTTGAAAGCGGATATGTCAGCAGGAGATTGTTTATACGAATATATATCTCATTAATAACAGTTGGAAAAAAACATTTTCTTTTACAATTAAATATAACTGAATAACATTGACTATATAGAAAGCAGTAGGAGTAGTAGATAGTTTAACTATCAGGCAAAAGAAAAACTAATTAAGATTTAATGAAATCTGTATTGAATTGAATACAGACATGATGTACTAATTAGTTCGGGAATTATTATATAGTACATCTTTCTATTGATTGTACTTATTATTGACTATAAGTGGGTGAATATAATTATTGAAATGACAAACGGTGTTAACTTCAACATTAATCAATAAAAGAATATCAAATAATAATAAAAATAAATTAGTTCTATCAGTCAATAGACAAAATTCTTTTGTATACTCATCTCTAAAAATAACTGAGATAATGTAAATGAATAGAGATAAAATTGCAACTATTTGCTCTCAATGTTTATTTAATCTAAATTCCATTTTTTTTATCAAAGAAACAATAAAATTCTTTTCCTCTTGAAATAATCCGTGTAATCTATAACACCACAACTGTATACATTTTATTTGCAAAAAGAAGAAGAAAAAAAATAAATAAAATATTCTTACAGAAAAAAAAGACACATCTCTAATCACTGGAAATTATTTCTTGAATAATTGTATCATCCCGTTTACCAATTAGTTTAACAGTTAAAAAAGCATTAATCACATGAATAAGTATTCTTAAATGCTGACATTGTATTTCAATATGTATTGTTGGTTCATTCTCATTTGATACGATTAAATCACGTTTAAATTCAAAATAAATTTTATCTCGTCCATTATCTGAACTTGATTGTAATTGATCAAATGTAAATGACCATAGAATAATATTTGTTTCATTATTATACATTTCAAAACCTTTTGTTATATCAATAATTAAACGACATATTTGTCCTTGATACATACAACCAAACGCACGATTTTTAAGTGCATATACAGACATATAAGTTGAACGTTGTACATTAGAATTAAATTCATCTAATTCAGTTTTTGTTTCAAAATTTAAATAACGACGTTGTGCTACAAGATCATTGGACAATGTTAATGTAAAACAATATTGTCTATCATCAAGACGATGTTTTGATGATGTCATTTCAATAAGTATTTCAACAATTGGATATACACGTGAACAACATATAAAATCATATGCACATAATGGTGGTGGTTTATTATCATCAAATATATAAAGATCACTACCTTTAAATACGATAAATATAGGTTTCCATTCAGGTAAACGATTTTGATTAATATTAGTAACACGTTCATGTATCCATGTTGCATAAAGTACTTGTTCACTTGGTAATAATGTTTGATTAAGTTCAGTTAATGTACGAGCTGTTAAGTTATGTATAACCATATTGATACGTGATATCCACATATGTTGTTGTATAGCTGTATCGGCTATAATAATTCCCGATTGTGAACCATCAAGAGTATGTAATTGAAAAGAATTAATACGTAATTTATCTGTGCCACTTAAATATTGAGTAACATATGCATAAAGAAGAGAATATTCTTGTACAGAAACATAATCAACTGTTGAATTATCTTCATCATCTTCTTCTGTTAATAAACTAATCGATTCACTTTGTTGTTGTTGTTCTTTTGCAAATGTATTTAACTGACGTCGACATCGTTCACTTTCATTTTCACATAATAATAATCGACTAAGTAATTCATATTCATCAGTATTCTAGAAGAAAAAGAAAATCGATTGATTAATTCATTTATCTATTTTCTTTCAACATTTATAATCATTTTTGTTTTGCAACAATGATTCTTTTTTTTTGTCTTATACTATATAAGTAGTTTATGTAGAAGTCACAAATGTATTTTACATATCCCTATGCACTAATTTCAAATAAGAATCTATAGAAATATGCATATAAAATGATCAAAGTAAATTCTTTTTATCTATCGATTAGATTAAATTTAAGATATTTTTCTTACTTGTTGTTGATCGGAAAGCATTAATGATAAGCGTTGTTGTTGTTTACCCGGTCGATGATAACCGGATGGATATTCTGCTGACATACGATTTTGTTGTCGTCTCATTCTAACAGATGCTGATGTTGGTAATGTAAAACTAGTCTTTACAGTTGGCATTATAGATGATGATAATGATGATCTTGCTGTTGTTGATGTTGAATGTAAATAGGGTGCCATGTCATTCATATATCGAACAGTTAAATTAACTTGATCACCGGATATATTTCGTAATTTTGTTATAACTTGATCATGAGTTAAATTAGATATATCTTCATTATTTATAGATAAGATAGCATCACCAACGTGTAATAAATGTGCATTGGTGTAAACAACACGAGAAATAAGAACTGGAAAACCTATTAATAATGAGAAGAAGGATAATAATTTCTTTTTTGTTTTTTTTTACCTGTATCACAACCACCCTTTATTGAAAAACCAAATGAATTTGTTGTCGGATGCCTTTTGAGAGTGACATTACGTGATACTATTGTTTGAATATCTTTATTATTAATTGATGATACTTGAGTCGTTTTAAGACGTCGGACAATAAGTGTCTCCGATGTTAATTGAAGTAAGACGAGATGAGGTTTAGAACGACCATCACTCAATGTTACGTGATCTTCAAAAAGCACTTCAACTGAATATGGTTGATGACGATCATGCATTTTAACTGTAACCTGTGAAAATAAGGCATTTATTGTTATCTGATTTTGCAACATATTTTTTTTGTCTACAAGACTAATATGCTTACCCACGGTGAATGCAATAATAATGTTAGTAGCTACATGGATATGTGTCATCACGTCTTCTCGCCAACCATACGACAATAATAAAAGCCTTGGGCTCATCACATCTAAAAATATATAGCAAGATTGATATATAGCTAGAGAACTAAGAGTTGCGTCAACATGCAATGTTATTGACGTGATTGACTCGGGCACCATCACTATTATCAAGATTACTGAAAAAAAGAAGAAAAAGAAGAAAAAAAAAGGAACGTTGCCGACAAATGATGATAGAGAGAAAGGGACATGAAAAAGAGAAAAGCATGCCCCGTACAATTAGACTACGCTCAAGTGCTAAGAAGAAGAAAAAAGAAAATCATTTGACTACTACACGTAACTTACAAGAGTCTCTGTAGTGAGCTATTTGTATTTTTAGTCATTACATATTGATATAAGAAAAATATAGGACATCATTATAAGTCTTTGCCTTACATGTATATATATATATGTGTAAAGAGAGATAGAGAAGTCTCACCATTATGTCTTTGTCTCTCCCTCTCTATCTCTCTTTTTCTCGTCCTATTCGTCTCATTTATTTTTTACCAGCATGCAATACAGGAAATAGACTTCGAGCCAGAGCTCCTCAAAATTGAATGGAAAGACATAGAATAAACTTCTACGTTCTGTCGATCTGTCTTTTTGAAAACTAACTACGTTATATATTTATGATCGACGAGTAGTTACTTCTCATAAGTTGTATATGATTCTCAATGTATAAATGAATTCAACAGTTATTCTGATGCTAGTTCTTTCTATTCTTTGTATGTCTCTCGAGATAATGAAGTAGTAGCAGCAGAAAAAACTAAAGAAAGAATGTAAAAGAAAGAAAAAAAAACGACGAAAGAATGAGTGCGACAATGACGGAGAGAAAAAAATGACAATTGCAATTGGCAATACTTATCAGTCTCGTGCAATGCTGTCGTTACTTCTTTGCTGTTACTGTTGCTGTCGTTGCTGATCGATGATTGTGGTTGAATGCGTGTGCGAGTACTCCCACTGCATACATCAACACATGTCGCTCTCTTTTCTTCACTAGTATAGCCTTAACATCATTTGTTATATACCATATACGAACAACAAATAAATGTATTTCTTATAATTGTGCACAGCCCATCAATAGAAATAAAAGAAGAAAAGAAGTTCCAGCTAACTAATGATAACTTTTGCTATATATATTTTTTTTTTCTTCTTTTTTTTTCTATAATACATTATTATTATTATGTTTAGTTAGATGATGCGAATTAAATTAGGCGTAAAATATATGGTAGCATACTCTACTATGTATGTCCCTTCCGGGTGAGTTTCGACATCCGGCAGAAAAAAGATAGATAAACGGATAATCGGATGTGTATTTTATATATATATATATTTGGTCATGGCAGTCGAAAGACATAAGTAATCACAAAAGAAAAAAATACTAATGAATACTATAGATTCTATCAAATGGTGTTGATTCCTAAAACGTGTCGTTGTGTAAAAAAGAATAAAAAAGAAAGTATCTAAGTGAAAAATTAATTATAAAATATAATGAATATGAAGATTATATGTTTTTTTTAAATTACCTGACAAATGAGTTCATGTATGAAATATTTTCTTATCGAGATTTTCTATTCAATCCCTTAAGACTTACCTGTGTTTGATGAATTTTTTATGATGTCAGTTGGCAACTGACTACCATCCATAGAAATAACCTTACATGCATTCATTCATTCATTCCATCATAGAAATGAATTTCTATGTTTTTATAGTAATATAGTATTGATATATGATGAAGCCTGATCTACTTGTAAATAAATTAGATCCTATCTTATCTCAAGAGTATATAGAATGAGAATAAAGTTAAGACGAATGGTTTCTTTTAGATCTATAAAAAAAAAAGAACCTCAATCTATCGTTCATTTTTTCCTATAGAATTAATGAGCGGAACTAATTCTTCCTTTGTGAATTTAACAATTGTATACATCTATAGAAATCACCTTTTTTTTTATTTTTTCAATACAAAATAAATAATTACTCTTACTCAGTTAAATACATGTTTGATTATTTACTATACATTCAAGTAAGTATTTTCCGCTCTTAGTAAACATTCTTTAAATTTTTCATTAATATTTTTGTAAGACATATTGTATGTTTGTATTACATAAATATTAATGTAACTGGTATTCGCTATTATATGATTGAATATGACAGGGAAAAGAAAAAGCTAGAATTTTGTCATATGTTTACAGATGAATGCTTATGTTTTTCATTAACTGAGATGACAAAATATCGATAGGTATTATCATATTTCTAAAAATGTACTGAAGAAACAAAATAGATATTAAACATGGCGGATATTTTTTCTTTTACATGTCGCTGTACTATATGATATTAGGATTTTTCGTATTCGTTCTTTTCAACAAACCCTGAGTTTGGATATGCATGAGTGATCATGTATGATATGATGTATTCAATGTAATAAAAGTTTAGTAGGTGAAAAAAGATAAATGTTAAATAATAATTTAAGTCAAAATGGTCAATCCATTTTTATCGAAGATGATTCCAGTCGAGATAAATCATTTAAACGTTATCAAACTATTGCTTATCGGATTTGTTTATTTACAATCATACTTGATATAATACTTGGTTTAACAGCATTTATTAATTGTATGCTTGATAAATCATCTGTTGGTTTAAGTTATTCAATTGATACATTAATGGATTCAATTTGTATTTGTTTTGTTGCTTGGCATTTAAAAGGTAGATATTTAATATTAGAAGAAGAAAAAACACGATTTTTTTTCTATTTTCAGCTCAAACAATGGATGATTTTAAACGACGAGATTATCTTGTTTGTTGTGTTATAGGTGCACTTTTTATCGGTTCATTTTTAGCTATTGAATCTCGTGCTATACAATCTATGATTGTTCCACAAGCACCAACTGGTGATTGGCTATTACTTGCTTATTCCGTAACTCATATTATTATATTTACGATTTTATCAATTGCTAAAATAATTCTTTCAAAAAAACTTAATTCAAAATCTTTAATGGCTGATGCACTTAATTCAATTATTGGAATTATTATGGCTGTACCTTTAATATTATGGGATCGTATACATATATTAAATCAACATACACAATTTGATGATTTAATATCCATTATAATGGCTTTATTTTTACTTGTTATGGGTTGGACATTAGTTCATAATGGAATAAAATATCATAATAAACTTTATTTGCAATCATTAAATCATCGTGCAAGTATTGACGGGAATTTAAATGCACAAACTGTACTTTTACCATTAAATCAAAATCGATCAAATACAGATGACACACATAAACAGTTTTTAGCTCTCGATAAAGATCTTGAAGCTGGAGAAAACGAAAATAAATAGATAGATTTTTATTTTCTTATATATATATTGTATACGAACAGTAAAATAAGAATGTTTCGTTTTCTATATATATTAATATGATTTTTAGATACATAGCAAAATATCTTCCATAATTATATTTTGTTATTAAATATGAGCACAAACAAAAAGAGAAAAGAAAAGAAAAAAAGAAACAAACAAACTCGTTTCACAGAAAAGAAGAAAACAAAGAGAATTCTTGAATATGTTTTTTTCCTTGTTATTCTATTGATATATTTCTATTAATGTACAGCAAAAATCCAACAATAGAATTATTCACAGGTAAAAAACCGGTTTGGCACAATTGGAATGATAGACGACAACAACAACAACAAAATGTTGTTGTTGTTATTTTTCTTCTAAGAATTTGTTCGTTCTTTGCTAAATGTTTGTTGAAGTTGTATTATTGTTTTTGATACATGACCATTACCATTTGTTTTATACTGTTCATTTTTCTGTTCATTATCATCATTATCTTCATCATCATCAATATCAATATCACGACTATTTTCATCGGTTAATGTTGATGAACTTAAAGTTGTTTTTAAAGATTTTTTCCGTGACAATGTTGTCGTTATTGGAATTGTTTTATTTGTATCACGATCAGTTTTTAATAACTGAAGAAGTTGAGAGAATGTTGGCCGTTTCTTTTCATCCCATTCCCAACATTTAAGCATTATTTGATAGATAGATGATGGACAACGTGACGGTCGTTCTAAACGTTTTCCATGTTGTAAATAATAATATACATCAGTACCACTCATATCACCTAAATAAAATCAAGAAATTATTAACACGATTGTTACTCTAGAGAAACAAGCAAGGACAAAGAATTATTTTTTGAGAAAGCAAATATTTAATATAATTTATAATAATCCTGAGGGAAACTATGACCTCCACGTCAGAAAAGAAGAATATTATTCGATCATAATCAACATTTATTCATTTATAGAAAAATCGTGTTTTTTTCTCTTCTAAAAATAATACAAACCATAAGGTGTTGCAGCATAAGAAAACATTTCCCATAGAGTAATGCCAAACGACCATACATCAGATTTTGTAGTAAATTTACCAATACTAATTGCTTCTGGTGCATACCTATGAATCACGAAACGTTTATATATATAAAATATATAATTATAATAATTCATACCATTTAACAGGAATTTTACTATCAGATTTCTGCATATAAACATCAGCATCAATACGTCTTGATAGACCAAAATCACTAAAAACCAAAGAAAGATATTAAAATCTTTGAAAAAGTTTCTTTATACCTAATTTTAACTTGATCGGTTGATTGCATAAGTATATTTCTTGCAGCTAAATCTCTAAAAGAAAATCAACTCATTAAATTTATTTTCTAATATAGAAGCTTTTTTTACGTACCGATGAACAATTCCCTTACGTTCCATATATGCCATACCATCGACAATTTGTGATGCCCATAATTTTAAACGACTTTCAGCTATAGAATGTTTATGTTTCCATAAATAATCAAGCATTGAACCAAGCAAAAGTAATTCAATAACCATCATCATACTATCATCATTAGAATCAACAATACCATATAATGTACATATACAATGATGATTTAATGTTGCCATATGTTCAGCTTCTCGTAGAAAATCTTGTTTAGCAGAGTAAGAATATTCTTTTAAAATTTTAATTGCAACTGGTGTACCAACAGGATTATTTAAATCTTCGCGATAAAAACCTTCATAAACTTCACCAAATTCACCTTCACCTATATATACAGATGTAAAGAAAAACAGAAAAAAAATATATATTTTTGTTTACCTAATTTCGCAGTTTGTTTTATTTGATTTTGTGATATAAGAGTTAATTGTAAAGATTTTCTTTTCTGTGCTGTTACACTTGGAACTGACGAACGTTTTATTGTTGTCGTAGAAATTTTACCATTAGATACTTTCATTGAACGTCGTTCATTATCATTATTAAAATCAGGTACAAATGGTTTAATTTTTCCTCCAAATGTTTTACGTCGATCAACAAATGAATTTGTATTACCTGCTGAATTTTGATCATTTGGTGATATTATTGTTTGATGTTGAGATGGACTACTACTAGAAAGTGACGCACTAGATGATGATGTTGATAATGGATCTTCCTGTGTTGATGATGCACGAGAACGTGATGATGATGAATTAAGTGATGTTACTGAGCCACTTAATGATGATGAAAATGTTGTACGACGAGTAAGACTAGAAGGATGATTGATTTTATGATTACTTGTTGTTGGTTCTTCACTACTTGTATGTCTATTCAAACTTGATTTTATCGTTACTGGAATATCTATAAATATCAAAATAGAAAATTTTTCAAAAAAAAAACAAAACTGAATTTACCTTTAGATCTATTCATAGTAGAAGTTAATGAAAAAGGTTGTACGCGACTATTAATTACTTGTCCAAAACGATTTATTGAGCACATTAATGTTGTTGGTAAACCATCTGGTATTCGACAATAATGATCAATTAAATGATCGAGTGAATCAAAATAAGGACCATCATCAATATAATAAGTTGTATCATTAAGACGAATCATTTCATAATTAAAAAATTCACTATCATTATAAAGTGTTAATGCATAATTTTTTGGATTTTTTGAACTACGACGAACAACAAACATTCCATTACGTGGACCATTTTTAACTGATTCAATTAATTGTTTAGCAGCAAGACGATCAAATGTTGGTTGATCATGTAGCCAATCTACACGACGTGATTGAGCTGGTGGAACTTTATAATCTCGAAGTAAACTTATTGATTCATCTGATTTAATTTCTTCAGCTAATTCAAGAGGAGTTTTTCCTTGATCTGTACGTGGTCGATGTGGAGCACCGCAATCAAGTAATACTTGAACACAAGCAGTAGAATTATGAAATGCTGCTTCATGTAAAGGTACCCAATGATTTGTATAATTACGCTCTTCAAAATCACCATGACCTTCACTTATTAAAAAAAGCAATGTCGATGGACGATTTCCCGCTGCTGCCTAAAAAAAGATTCGATTTTCACTCTTGTTCTTTCTTTTATTTTTTAATATTTTTTCAAGTATTGAATTACTTTATGTAAAGCTGTAGCACCATCCGTATCACGTGCAAGTACATGAGCTCCTGCTTTGACTAATAGACGAACAATATCATCATGACCAAAAAAACTCGCTTCATGTAGTGCTGTTGAACCAAATGCATCTTTACCATTTACATCAGGTCGATTTACTAATGTTTCTGGAGAAAGAATTTTTTTCACTATATCAAGATTGCCTTGTTTACATGCTCGATGTAACGTATTAGTTGAACCTAAACGTCGAGCTGCAATAGGTGGAGGTTGACCTTGAACAAAATCAGTTGAAAGTATGCAAGCAAGACCATCAGCACGTTGTTGATAATAACTTATTAGACTTTCTATACCAGCTATTTGAGGACCGGAATCTAGAATATAAGAAAGAAAAAATAAACATATATGTATTAATAATAATGAATGAAAATATACCAATGGAAAAATATATATCATAAATAAGTTGAATTTTATAATGATAACATTTATCACCACAAACAAGTGATAAACTAAAATCATGTGGTGATGTTGTACAATCACGTAATAAAAACAAACCATCACGTCTATAACGTGTATATTTAGCTCGTAATAATTGTTCAGCTTTATCTCGATCAATATTTGGATGATAATATGCTATAGAACGAGATTGAGTTAATAATTGTTCTTTATCACGTTTAAGTAATTGTGATAATGAATGAATTTTAACAAGATTTGTTACAGATTGTTCTTGTTCATTTGAATTGTATGATAATGATGAATTCATAATGAATATATGTCTATATAACTAATATTGTTATGATTACTGATTTAATATTCACATCTAAATAGAAGAAAAAGAGCTAGAGAATTATTTAAATTATCTGTAGTAATAAATAATAACTACGCATTTGTTTGTAAATCTTTGCCATTTCAAGATGAACCTTGGAAAGACTTCATACATATGTAAATCTCTCTCTAAGGACAATATATTTGATGATGGTAGTTTCAACTACAACCATGTGAGGGTCAAAATAATTTTCTTTTTCTCATTCTTCTCTCCCTCCCTCGCTTACTCTCTCTCTCACGCACTCACTCACTCACTCTTCTATTTCTTCTACATTAGTTATGTGTGGTAAGAAATTCTCCATTTTTTTTTCTTCTCGTTCTCATTTTTCGTGACACCATCATAATACAAAAGGGCATCAAGCAAAGAATTGTAAATGTATATATGCTTGTCTACTTCGTCGTCGTCCGTCTGGCCGCTCGTTCGGCCCGAACGACAGAGCAATAAAAAAACACAATCGATTGTACGCTGCTATGTAAAAAAATAGACACTCATATAATTGTAACTCAATTGATTGGACTATCGGGATGAGGTGGTAGTAACTAAACAAAGAATAAATGTCTCGTCAAGTGAAGTTGTCAAACGATCTAAGAAAGAAAAAGAAAAATTTATCACTATAGTTAGCATAGAAAGAGATGACGAAAGAAAAAACAACATGAGATTGTCATCTTATGAAATTTTGACTTTATATCTGATAATAGTCTTATCTTTTGAAACTTATTCTAATCTTTTTTTCTTTTTTACAAAAACACTATAATGATAAGAATAGATTGTTCAGCAAACACAAGAAAAAATAAAAGAAAATACAACTGTGATCTTAACTCACTTGTGTATTTGCTATAACACCAGTTGATTAAGAAGAAGAAGAAGAAGTAGAATAAGAAGAGAGAAAATGTGTATGTATGTATATACGTGCGTCTGTTTTGTACAGTCGCATATGTATGCTTAGTTTGTGCGTGTGCATGTACACTCACGTTACCTAACGGAGCGTGTATGAGAAGGCGGCAAGCACACGGCCGTCGTTATTCGGTATTTCTCATGTCATTCAAGGCGAGAGGGGAGAAGGGGAGAGAGAGAGAGATAGAGAGAGAAAGAGAGGTAAAGGAAATATATACTCATTCTTTTTTCGCTCTTTTGACAAAAATATTAGATAACAAAATAGACTGAGCGAATAATTTTAAAATCATAACAATATAACTGATTACTATGATATGTCTGAAAAAGGAGATGTGTAACTCTTTCTTTCTTTTTTACACTTTTATGCTATATCGTTTATCTTACATCACTTTCTTTCTTTCATTTTTTTTTGTCTATTCTGTCTAAATATCTTCGTTTTGCATCTGATATGAGACACATTGAAGGCGAAAAAGAAAAACATAAACGTCAAATTATTATTCTTTTATACTTAAAATATATATATATATATATATATATATACCTATACCTATTTACGTCACTGTTAAACACTAAATTCAAAACGATTCAATTATATCAAGATGTTTATCACCGAATAAATTGTTGATACGAGTCATACTATTGACTTAATTACTCTAATCTCTCTTTGCGTCTTTTTTTTCAAAATATACACTTACTCCTACTTATTCAAAGAATGAATAAGATTGTGAAAAAGAAATTCTTTTCTTGATGGTCTATAATATATGTATGCAAGTATGTTTGTTGATGTTGACAACAATAACAACTAGAATGAATACCTAAATATTTGTACGAATAAGATTTGATGATAAACGTTCAGAGTACGGTCAAATAATGTCATTGTGTGAAATAAATCGAGTACCTGTTGACGCCTACTTTTTCTTTGACCATTCATGCCTTAATATATTCCATTGCACAATAATACAATAGAATGATAATAAACAGTTGACAGACAACAGCTGTCTCTCTCTCTCTACATCAAATAAGTTCATCAGTAATCAGTTGCCTTTCTATTATTAAAAAATTTGTCACTCTTATCTCTTTTTTTCTTCTCTCGTTATGATTATTATACAGTGTATCTAATATATATCTGTCGTGGTGTAATATGAGTGAATGATATATTTATATTAAAAATAAAATCGACATTCATTTGACATTGTAAAAAAGAAAAAGAAAAAGAAGAAAGTCCTTACATCATACAGAATCATAATATATGATATTTCGTTTAAAAATCATCTCACATATAAATATATATTCGTTTCTTTTTTGCATAATTCTCTTTAGTCAACACCTATGTAATGTTAAAATACGCAATTATTGCAGCATGGCCCTGAAACGATAAACATTGCTTTTAAAATAAACTTACTTTTTGGACGTTAAAGTATATATTTGCTATGTGCAAAACTCCGAACAAGGTTACATTTTTTTTCCTATCTACATAAATTGAGGCATGAAAAATGAAAGAGGGATAAATTTGGTTTGTTCGAGGTTGTTGCTCTGCCAACATGTATTGATGAGCAAATCAACTGTTAACTTAAGTTGATCTAACAACGAATATTATTCTTTATTCATTTGAAAATAATCATAACATTATATACCGACCTCGTTTTTCGCTAATCAAATATTGTATAAAAAAACGTTTTTTTTTAACTATTCTGTTCTTTTCAATGATAAATAATTATAGATATATATATATGTGTATATATACATATAAATATTTTTATAGTTTGGTTATAAGATCGAATAACTTAATATACTCTATTCAAACCATTTTCTATTCATATAAAAAAGAGTATTGAAAGAGATCTTCCTCTTATTGAAATATGAAACATATTTTCATTCAAATTGAATTAGTAGTTTACTACTATTGTATTTCGACTTCTGAATCATTTAATTTTCAATAACTTATATTTGCTTGATTTAATTTTACACTACATTTACATGTACATGTTATATTAATAGTAATAATATGATGTTGATTCGTCCTTTAAAATGGTGATATATTCAACAAGTAACACTCAACCTATAGATTTACAACAGAAACGTTTTTTGTATGTGTATATGCGTATTGAGCAACAGTTCTTAAAATAAACTTCGAGTTAGCAATACTTTGATTAGATCTAATCGAAAATCAAATAGATTGTAGCAATATACCATTGCCTGTTTATTGTACATGTATTTTATATTTAATTATAAAAATATACATAACTAAAAAAAAACGAAGATCTTTTTTGTTTCCATTTAACTATAGATTGGTTATAATTTGATTTTATCAAGAGTCTCATTTCTAGAATTAATGACTCATTACAACTTGTGCACTATTTAATACATCGCCCATATTTTGTAGCCAAAAAGAAATATGATATACATGTCCAATTTTTGTATGAAGTCTTTGATTAAGATAATCTGGTAAACCTACACTACCATCACAAAATGAACGTTTGCCTTTGTATGGATATGGAGAAGCTAAAAATAAATTTAACGAACTATTTCCATATGAATTACATCGAAAAAATCCATCTGATGGATTATTTTCAAAACCTCCATTGATTATAAGTTCTGTTTGTGACGATATATCCATAACTGATACATTATCAAGACACCAGTAAGAGGGATCATTTCGAAAAGCAAATGTTAGAATTGTTTGAGTAGAAGTAGCTTTATATAATTTCGAATAATATGTATAATTAAATTGTTTCATATCATTCCAAGAAAATAATGGAACAATAGTTGATAGAGTACAATTATTTGGTAGTTTATAAAGTGTCAAGGGATTTTCGTTGATAGTAGACGCTAGAAATAAATAAAAAAAATTCTTTAATTCAAAAATGAACTAATCAAGTTATTTCTTACTTTCAGATACTGAATTAGATCGAATATGAAATAGAATAACAAAAGTTGCAATTATTAAAGAACTAATAATAGAAATGATGATTATAATAATGAGTAATGTCCGTTTCGTATTAGATTTTTGTTTACATGGTATTTGTCGTTCAGCATGCGCATCTAATTGATTGGTTGTAATTGATACCAAATTTATTTGACCGTTATATGTGATGGAATCTGATCGATATGACTGACACAATTGTTTAATATTTTCATCAGAACGAAGATTATTAATATTCAAAGGTTCACGCGTGAGAGGACTCGTTCCTTGTTGTTTAATCCATTGACTAATAGCAGTTCGTTCATAAATATGACCATCTTCAGCAAGAACAGGATCTCGATAGATCTCAAGTGTAATTGGACAAATAAGATCATGATTCGATTGTACAGTCGTGTCTGATGTGTTTTCCATCGATAGTAAAATGTCAGTTGATAATTACAACAAAAAAATATGCACTATAGTGCAATTTATTTATACATATATATATAGTACTCTTTTACCTTTATTTTTTATTATCATGAAAAAAAGAAAAATCATTAAAAAGAAATAAAGGAAAACAATCAAGTGTTTTTTTCCATATATTAATCCAGTGTTTTTTCAAAATCTAATTCAAATATGCTATTTTAAGATATTTTAATTTTGTATTGTACTTTTTAAATAAATTTGCCCTATTCATCTAAAAATCTATTAGCAATTATTTTTCATACTCGCATCGAATATTCAATAAATTAGATTGCTTTCATCTTATAATGTCATAGGTGAAGATTGAATATTTTCATGATAAATTCATGAACAAATTCATATACTGCTCATCTAGTAGTGTCTCTAATCGTTTTAATATTATTTGAATACATACGTATATCTACATAATGATTATATGTTCAATGATTATGCTTCGACTAATATATGACTTGAAGTTTGTCTATTTTAATAAAATGTTTATAATCCTTTAGTAAATAAAAAACTAACCAATGATATTTATTGTCATTATATGATGATGATACTTCTTTATTCTTTAAAAACTGATAACATAACTTTCATTGTCTTTCATTTCGTTAAAAAATAAAAATGAGTATAGAAGTAAAACAACGTGTATGTGGTATTGTCGGTGGTTTGGCTTATGTCTCAACAGCTGATGTAAATTGTTAATCTTATATATATGTATATTCTTACTATGTTCTTTTTTTTTCGTTTACAAAGTATTATAATCAAATGAATCATTTGGTTGGTAAATCGGCATCTGGTCATGGTAGTCGTATTCATATTGTTTCACTTGATTTTTTTCATTATATGGATTTACTTAATAAAAGTCAATGGTCTGATGCAATTGAATTCCTTCTTGAAGGTGTTCACCAACTAGTTAAAAGTGGTATTGATTTTTTACTTGTTTGTTCAAATACTGGTAAATATATATATATTTAACGAAACTTTTTTTTATGGTAATAAAGCGTAATTCTAGCTCATATGGCTGTACCAAGAATTATGGAATGTTATCCTGATCTTGTTTTTCTTCATATAGGTGATGCTATCGCATTTTCAATTAAACAAAAAAATTTTAAAAAAGTACAAAATTAGAACAAAAAAAACCCAAATATTCAAATCTATAAATTATATTTAGATTGGATTTTTTGGAACAAAATTTTCGATGGTATCAAATAGTTGTGTTATTGAACGATTAGTTCAACATGGTCTAGAAATTGTATTTCCACATCAAGATGCTATCGAACGTTTACATCAAATAATTATTGATGAATTATCAAATAATATTTTTACTGAAGAATCAAAACAATTCTATATAAATACTATACAACGTTTATATGATGAAGAACATGTTGAAGGAGTTATTCTTGGTTGTACTGGTAAATGCATAATTCGATATTTTTATTCAAAAACAAAATCTTTTCATTATTTTTAGAAATTCCACTACTTGTTAAACAAACTGATATACCTCATATACCTTTATTTGATTCATCACAATTACATGTAAATATAACAAATTTATGTTTACTGTTATTTATTATCTTTTTTGTTGAATAAATAGATTGAATTAGCTGTCGATTATCAACTTGGTCGATGCGATATTGAAGCATTTTTACCACAAAAAGTCAATACAAAATAATTAATGTTCTTTTCCTCTTCTAAGTTAATAACATTTTCTTACAACCTTCTTTATCAACTGGAGGTTTTGTAATTTCTTTTGATTTTAAATAATAACTTGCAAACCAATTTGTATTTTTACCAATATTTTTTAATGCATGACATTTATCAGCTGAGAATTGAAATGCAATAATTCCCATTTTACATGCATCAAATTGATGATCTTCATATTGATTAGTATCACTATCTCCAATACGAAAATGAAATTGACCTTGTAATAAAATAATCACTTCACCCGAAATACTATTTTCATTGTCTTTATGACGATGATTGCCTCGTACAGCTTTACTTTTTAATGAAACAAAATGTGCACTTTGACCATTTGGTGGTAGATAGAGTATACCTTGAGTTTCACTATAAAATACTTGTGAAGAAATATTCGTATAAGTAAATAAAGATGATTTTGGCAATTGAGATACATCAGCAAAACCATTTGTTGAAGATGAACGAGATGAACGAAACCAATAAATAAATACAAAAATTAGCGAAAATAATAAAATAAAATAAAAACGAGGTATGGGTTTGGATGGAATTGATGGTGGTTTAGTCATATTCATAGTTGAAATTTCAAATAGTAAGAAAACAATATCTTATTTGTCACACTTTAGTATATGCGCAGCATTATATTTAATTATGGCGTTGTTTTAAATGAATAATAGAATATTTGAAAATTAACTTTTGTTTCCTTGAAAACGAGATGATGAGAAGCATTATTTACTCTACCACTCATAACTCAACCATAATAAAATATACACAGGTAATTATAGATGGCAGGTATGGGTAGTATAACAACTGTTTAATATACTCTAAGTTCAATATCATTGATGTTATTAATGACAATGGGATTTTGCTTTTCTTACAAGTGAAATCTTTTTTTTTTGAATTATTAAATTGTTAATGGAATTATGAGTATCATAATGACAATTGGAATATCAGACTTCTTTTGATTAGTGTTTAGATTTAATCATTAGGTGAAAAACTATTTTAAAAATTGAAATTATGATGATAAGAAAATGAATTATGCTTGATTACTTTTATTATTATGAGAAGCGTTGAAGCTAAAAAAATCTCAACTTGTCTCTTTTTCACCCTTCATATGTTTTCCCACCTTTTGCGCGCATGTGCCTATGTATCTCTCTCCTCTTTTTAACACAATCATCGAAATTAACCAACACTCAAATAGAAACAGAGAAGTGTTATTATTAGTTATTCTTCATCACATCATATTCTTTCTTCTATCGTTCATATCCTATTGTTGTTCGTGTGCACACGCTCCATGTTCGCTTGTTGTATTTGACATATATTCTCGTGATGGTGTTCCTATATATGTATATTGAGAGGAATAGAGAGATGAATGAACATGTGATGAACAAATTTTCTCTTCTATTCTTCCTTCTTTATTTCTCTTTCGTTTACTGGCCGATGAACGAACTACACCGATAGACACAAGAAGAATGAGAGCGAACAAATCGCCTTCGCCGCCGCTGTGTTGTTTGTTCTCAGGATCAACACAAAAGCACACTAGGTTGTACAGTAAAGGCGAGCTGAAGGTCAGCGCACGCGAGAGAGAGAA